TTACGCTTTCAATCGCTAGACGAGCTCGACCAAGGAACCACTTGAAAACGTTTTACAAGATATAGTTATAATGGAATAAGATTTCAAACTTCCGCTGATAGAATGAAATGCAATAGATTCAATTTGTCAATTTTTAATGACCAATTATATTAAAAAAAGGAAGTGTATATAGATGGGAATTATCTGGTAGGCTTAATAAATAATGACCTAAGATGGACGTCCACTGGACATCAAAATACTAGTAAACTTAAAATTAACTCCAAAAACAGACGTCCTCTGGGTATCGATATTCAGCTGTCAAATTAATTAGCATAAACGGACGTACACTGGATGCCTGGATATGGACGTCCTGACTCTCGCTCAAATGTATCTAAAATGTACGTCCATTGGACTATGTGTGCTGTCTGGACATAGACGAATTTTTAGAAATAGTACTTATTTAAGTAAGTACCAATATTTCCAAAATCAACTGCAGTACGATTCATTCAATACATATAAATATGAATGGGCAAAACATCTTTATATTGACATAATTGTAACTTACAATTTAGCCATAATAAAGGGATTTCGCCCACTTTGCCCAATCCTAATTGAAACACGCGGATTTATTATATTTTTTTAAATATAATTTCAAAATAAAATAAACAAAATCTGCAGTTCATTGTTTATTAAATTTATTTAAAAGAAGACAAACTTATATTTCAGAAAATCCAATACCTACGTCATATGAAAAATAAAATGTCAAAAATGATTAAATCATTATACTTAATAATTATACATGTGATAAAATTCTTAGTTTCCTAATAACTTTTTTGGTACATTTTATATCTGTATTAGAATACCTAAGTGTGTAAAAAATCTTCATCTTATTACTACACAAAACAAGCACTAAAAAATATTACTTAACATTGCTCACAACAATTACATATTCTAACCAAAATGGCTGCCAGTGGATTTTGACATGTTATGATATGACAACCTTGTGGTAATTAACAGGGTAATGATATAGATATAGTTATATAGATTGATGTGTAAACAAAAGCTTATTGCCTTGAAGAAAAAATGTAGGTAATTATTTTTTTTACTATAATCAATGGTTGAAAATTGGTTTTTTCTACACCCACATGGATATTAAAAAGTGTTATCGCGCAAAAGCCTACCCTGGGCTTTGTTTACTCCTTGCTCGCGGTACGAAGTCTTGGGCAGGCAATATAGAGACAAACGCACCGCTTCTCGAAACTACCAGAACAAGCGGTACGTGCCGTTGAGTCATAGAGATGGAATTCTTGGACATTCCACATCGTATAAAAGTTGGGCTTGGTATATATAGCGCGAGTTGTCGACGAACGGGCAGACTGAATTTAAATGTTGGATAGAAAAGATAAATTGTAGTAAATAAATTAGAATTGTGAGTTATAATAGTGCCTAAGTATTATATAAATTAATTAGTACGTCATAAATAAATTATAAAGAGTGTCTTAAATAAATAAACTATAAATAAATTAAACAAACGTTACAGTATGCTATTGCCTTCAACTAAACGAATGTATCTCGTATCCATTCTAGGTAGTGAGAACACTGAAAAAAATTAAATCCACCAATCACAGTTCATATTTTGATCAACCGACTGCTATTATTTTTAAAATTTTAAATAAGTGACAATACTGTCAAACTAATTGTCAGAGTATTTTTTAGTTATTGAGATTAAACATACATTAAAATGTGTTATTCTTGTATAGAATCAATAAAAAATAGCAGTTCTACTTTTATTTCGTCTATAATAATTATAAATAATTTGTAAATTTAAATAAAACTATATGAAGTCAATTTAATTATGAGTATTAAACTAAAAAAAAGCGAATAGATGGTACTGTGGTAAAATAAAATGATTTTTTTTTTTCTTTTTTTTTTCTTATTTTATTTTAAAAAGTAGTAAAATATTTTTTAATATTTGTAGATTTTCGTTAGTGGGTCGTAGAAAAAATATACTGTACAATTCGAGTGGATTCAACGTTAGAGAAGTGGAAGGGACGGTGGTTGACACATGACAGATGTCTGTATTGTAAAAATGTGTTCAGTTTGGAATAAAAATAGACCTGTTTTAGTATTTTCTTAAAATACAATGGATAATGCCAAATAACAGACTGAAACTGTATATCGAAATTGTCTAGATTTATCGAATTAGTTCGTAGAACAAAAACTGCTTTAAAATGCATTTTTTTACAAGATACGCTACATAAGAAAGATCCTCCAATCGAAAAAAAAAAAATTATTGTGGGAACGCCATCTACATATTGACCTATTTAAAATTAATTTATATCTGAAACTGAAGCTCTCTTAGTGATCTGTGAATTGGCTTTTACAGAATTAATATAATCTCTATTTCTAACCAAAATATCTGGCCTGGGAGTTTTTATTGGTATATAAATTATTTTTTTTATAATATCTTATTCGATTTTTAGACAAACGATACCATTCAAAACTAGAAATTGAAAACTACAATTTCCTCTACTCAAACTATTTTTTCTATAAAATTCCAACCATCGAGATAGAATAAAAGAGAGACGACATACACACTATTTTGCGATTTGACAGATGGACGCACTTCAAGTGACGAAAAAGTGTAATGAAAATGGCGACTTGAGTCGTACTTCGATTTATTTGAAGTTAATTTTATATTTAAAAACTGACGAAATGAAAATGATTTCTGTCAAATTAAATGAAGCTATTAAAAAAAAATTGCATTATATTATTTTTATTTATTTTTAGATTTACACAGGGCATTTGAGACTATTAACAGGGATAGATTGTTATTGAAATTAAGAGCTATTGGTTTGGGGGGTTGTGCACTGGACTGGTTGGGTCATTACATGGAAAATAGGAAACAGAAGGTTATAGTATATTACATTACGAGTGTGGAAAATCACTTTTCACACAAGTGATGTACAATATTTTTCCTAGGACCACAAAATAATGTCATCAAAAAATATATAACCAGGTTATTATTACTATAATAATTAAAAATGTATTTAAAAAAATAATCAACAATAATCGTATTTATTCAATTTTCATATTTTCTAAACAAAAAAAAACTTAATAAAAAAAAAAAATCTGGCCCCGCCAGGTCTCAAATGGCAAAGTTGATAAGTTGTTAAAGATAAATATCTAGGATCTAATTTCCAACAATTTCAATAATTTAACAAACATATCGATTTTAGTATTAATATGGACATTACAAAGATCAAAATAGAAATGATGCATTTGACATTTTGTGACAGCTACTGCGGGAAGTAGCATATTCGTACACGGGTGGAAAGTAAATTCTTATTCATACGCGTGTGATATAGGGCACTTTCCATAGGACTATATAGTGTGATATATGTCACTTTCCTAAGTGATCGTAGGAAAAGGTAATTATGTTTCAGATACTATAGAGAATAATATGGGGGTGTCACAGGGTAGTGTTCAGGGTCCGCTACTATTTTTAATTTATATTAATGACATTGCTGGTGTAGTCGAAAGATGCTCAATACACTTATTTGCAGATGATACACTGATATATTTTACCCATAAAAACACCGAAACTTGTTTTGAAGAAATTAATAGTTCTATAAGTAAAATGTATGATTATTATAACGGAAACCGTTGAAAATAAATTACGAAAAGAGAAAGTAGATGTTAATTGGGGGTACTGGAAATTTAAAAAAATTAATGTAGCATCGCAGTGTATTTCTGTTGATGGAATAAAGTTTCAGAGAGTTGAAAAATTTAAATATCTAGGGGTTATGGTTGATACAATTTAAGAAATATGCTAATAACGTCATCAAAAGCATATCATTTAAAATAAACTATTTGAGACGCTGTTCTCCACATCTCAGCAAATGGGCTAAAATAATAATTTATAACACTCTAATATTACCTCATTTTAATTATTGTGCCACTATATTGTATTGCTCAACCAGAATGAGTTGCAACGATTGCAAAAGTTGCAGAATAGAGGTATGAGGATAATACTGAGCTATTCAAGATTGAAACCAATCAATTTCATGTTAAATGTGCTTCAGTGGTTGCCTGTTAAAAAATATTTGCAGTTCTATTCCCTGCTATTTATATTTAAGATTAAATCAGGAATCTCCCCAGTATATTTATAAAATATTTTAAGTTATAATCAGGATTTAGAGTTTATAAGGTCACGAAAAAATGTACACAAAATTCAGTATTTTTTAAAGGTGTGCAGGCTTTTAATAATTTGTTTGAAGATATTAAATGTTCTTCAAACGCAGCAATATTTAAAAGAAAACTGCGTGAGTACTTGCTGACCAATTGATGTTGTTTTTGTTCTTTTATTATGTTTTATATAGTTGACATGTAAGTGTACTGTATACTTACGTATTTTTATTGTATTTTAAATGTATTTTCATTCTATACTTATGTATTTTTTATTTTATCTTAAATGTGAAGTATTGACATTTAAAAATTTTTTTTGACTAAATAAACAATTTATATATTTATATTCTCACCAAAACTGACCAGTTCCACTATCACTATCTGACGTAAAAGGTACGGACACTTTAACATCGTCATAGCATCTTCTCTTTATTCTATCTCAATGATGCTAACAGAATTATAAAAACGTATTTGAAAAAACTACTACTTTGTAAAAATCCATAGTTTTAACTATTAAAATAAAAATAAAGAATTATTTAAAAGTTTTTTGCGTTTTTCTCAAAACTTACAGTACAGATTAATATTCCAACCTCTTTTTAGAAAACTAATAAATATTTAAAATAAAATAGAAAAACAAATTCTGTAAGCCATATATGTCACAAAATAATTTATTGATAATTATTTTGTGTATTGCGACTTCAAGAATGTCTATTTTATTTTATTTTACGTCTTGGTCATTTTACAGTCCATCAATTAATATAGACTTTAACTGAAATGCCCCAATATTTTGGTCACAAGCCGCCACTGCATTTGATATTGAATCATATACTTACATCCGTCGATTTAGAAAGAAACTTCATCCTCATTAAATTGGAACCCCCTTCTTTCTTTTGATCCTTTTTCTTAATCTTTTTAACCTTCTTATTCTTCACTACACTCTTTTCTGGCACAATTTTTGGCACGGGTTCATTCAAATGTTGAAACCAAAAAATTTTTTCGGACATATTTGGATTTGCATTAACTTCCATTTCATTATTCACAAACTTTCGCGATTGCACTTTTAATGATTTATCACTAGTATTTATTTCACTTTTATCAGAGTCTATTGTTTTCATTCCATTCTCATCTGCAGATGGCCCTTTTGATTCCGGAGATGGCTGCAGATTTTGTTGACCATCTCCTTCGTGCTCTTTATCTTGAACAGCATTGGTTGATTTATTATCATCTTCAACATTAAATTCTTTTATTAGATAAATATCAGCATGATGCAATATATTTTTTCTTTTGTCATTATCATTTGAATCATTTCTATCTTTTTGTCTAACAACTTCGGTGATGTTTAAATCTTCGTCAACAGTTTGTTGGATGTTTGAATCATCGTTTACACTCGTTTTTTCTTCACATTCTTTGATATTTGTTTCAATCTGATGTTGACTACAGTTGTCATCACTTTTTTTATCGCTAGTATCTGTTATTTTCAAAACATCTCTGCAATTTTCTTCTAAAATTTCTTTGTCATTAGCAATTGTCAATCGATCAAATGAAGAGTCTGCATTATTAACACTTTCAGCTACAATTTGTTTATCATGAACTATATTTTCTTCATTTGAAGTAATTTTTGTTTCACTTTCGTGCTGATACTCAGTATCAACATTTGATTTAGTTTGTACAACTTTTTCTGCAATGCTGGGCAAATTGTCTTCATACTTGCGTGAAGGAATTGGTGTTGATATCATCTCTTTGGCAACTTTAGATTGCTCTGTGGAATAAACGATTTGTGTGACAAAATTTAAGTTAATTTTAGAACCAGTTTCACTTCTCTTTGTATCCGGATTAAATTCTGGTATATCTGGAGGTATATCTAAATGGTGATCATCTTTGCAAGTTGTATTTTCATCACTTATTTCACTATCTAGCTGAGAAATCGATGAATTACTATCACTATCACTTTCACTGTCGTCAAAATCGCTTATATCTGCATTACATTCTTCTATAAGAGGTTTAAAGTCCTTATCTGCAAGGCTGTTCCATTGGCTCGCGATCTTCCTTGGAAACAGTGGAACTGATATCATGTCTTTAGTAATTTTCAGTCTGTTTGGTTTCTTACTATGTAATAAACTATCCAAACTTGAAGCTTTTCTTAAAGCAAAACCAGCTGGAAATTTCTTATCGCTATCATCGTACCAAACAGATCTGGTATTGAAGTTGTTTTTTCTGTTTCTTCTTAGTGAATTTTGCCATTGCGTCGGTTTTGTATCATCGGTAATTAATTTAGGTTGTAAAATACTACTTTTGTCTGCATCTCTGGTTGATTTCAGATACAAGGCGTCTGAAAAATTCATCGTATCGAATTAAAAACAACATAGAACTGGATATTATCGTTCCTATTTTCGTTGCATTTGATAGCCGATTTCTGTTATCTTGTTTTTATCTGATTAACATTGTGATATACCTGTCGCGATGAATACCTCGAAATTATTTTTATGAATCATTTGAGAAGTAATAATAAATAAGACCTCATGCGTAGTTACACAATGATGTATAATATTAAACTGATGGCTTTGAACGTACAAGAATGACACCCACATAACTTTCGCGTCCATGAATTTTAAAAAGTGTGTACATAGAAAGGTTAAACACTTGCATGAAGACAAACACCTTACTGATTGTTTATATAATAGTTCCTGCTTTTTATATTTAGACAAACTAGAATTTCTTTAACTGTATTATTTACCAGATAAATAGTCATTTCAAAATTGGTTTTTAATAGATATACGAGGAACGACGAAGATGATATAAACGAGGATGAAAAATAGTATGTACGTGTAGTATGTTAACCTTAGTTTTATTATTTATTTATTTATTTATTTATTTTGATCGCTAATGTCACTTTAAATTAACCCAAAATCGCCTGTTAGTGAAGTATAATTTGACTAATTTGTTCATTTTTAAATTAAATTACTAATGAAGCGAATTTACATTTCTGTGTAGCCTTAAAACCCTTCCAAACAGGCTCCTGAACGACCATCCGTGCAATTTTAAAATTTCAAGAAAATACCTACTCCATTGAATGTGATTAGTAAAATTTTATAACAAAAATATGAGGCTGAAGCTAGCAGACAAATTAGCATACAAATGTTTTGATATTGTTATTCGGAAAAATCTTTGGTTTAGGTGGACTTTAGTATCATGAAAGTTTAGAAATAAATAATAATTAGTGTATTTATTGAAAAAATGGATTAATTCAATTTGAATTATTAGTTAAAATAAGATAATCTTACACAAAGACGGGGACGAAACAAACGCATTTACAATGTGATTTTAAATATAATTTTTATACCAAATATTCATTAGGTTTTGTTAATTGATTAAACAAAAAAAATATGGCCGAGCAATGATTTAAAATATATTTTTTTGGTCTGTTTAAAGTAGGATGTTTTGTCGTCAAACGACTATGAGAACAAAGAGACCAAAAAAACACATTTAGCAAGAGATAAATGTGTCTGTTTCGTCCCCGTTTTTGTGTAAGATTATCTTATTTTAACTGATAATTCAAACTGAATTAATCCATTTTTTTTAATAAATACACTAATTATAATTTATTTCTAAACTTTCATAATACTAAAGTCCATCTAAACCAAAATTTTTTTCGAATAACAATATCAAAACATTAAGGGACCGCTGCGCGGTTTGTCTGCTAGCTTCAGCCTCATAACAAAAATACCAGGTCTTCAACAATACCCGAAACCCACGTGATCTGATAACCATCAAAAACCCATCGAAAGGGCCTGATTTGACGTAAAAGGAACTAAACTGTCAATCCTGTCAGAAATGTCACTGGCGTTCATTTGGGGACTGACAATATTTATATTATATTTGTTTACATTTTATAAAGACCCTTAGTCCATTTTTAATTTAATATTAATAAAGCAATTAGTTATTTTTAGAGAATATTGGTGGCTTCTTTTTTGTTGGTAAGTACAAATTTATTTACTGTAACTCGTAAAAGTTAATGACTATATAATTTATTGTAGGTAATGTTATACTGGAACAAAATTATTCGAAAATTTGAGGAACGTTTTCCAGGTGAATAAATGGAATGTGATTCTTTTTTGTCGTCATAAACAAATACTTGTTCAAAAAAAGAAAAAGGTCTAAAATGCCCAAAGTAATAACAAAAGCTGTTGAAGATGTGCAAATTAACATGTTGTAAATTCCCAATAAATTAGTAAAAAAAAACAGCACCTCAAACAGGTATGAACCATGGTATGAACGGTGTTTTAAAGACTGACTCTGGCGAGTGAAATTCAAAACATATTTTTTTTTAGGTTCATCACTACGAACTAGCCATAAAGTTAAAAAAAATTCTGATAATGCATCCCCTATAAAGTTTCGATACTGCAACAATCATTTTACCTTAATTTTGTTAAAACTACATATGGAATATTACAGATCGCTCAATTCAAAATCGTTTGTGACGTTTATGAATTGGAGCACCTATATTGAATGATATACAAAATATAACTGAGGAGAAACTGCATAATGTGTTCAAAAAAGAAGGTTTAATGCTTGCATTAAAGCTGGTGATTAATATTTTGAACAGATAGGTACTGTGAATTAGTTTGAATTAGTTTGTGCACCACAGATTACTACTCAATATCCTTTTAAATAAAATAGTTGTTAATAGATATGCCTTTATAATTTAAAGTGAGAAGTAAGAGCTGTAAGGTAAAACAAATATGTGCTTGTTATATTAATAATATTAATATTTTTTTGTATGCATATAAGTAACAATGTATTTTGTAAATCCTGTAACAAATAAATAATAGAACAAACTTAAATTATGTGTTTATTACTTCCCATTATCCAGGTTCAATTTCAGTAAGTCTTAAATTTGTTTACTTTAATTGCAATAATTGCCAAATACTGCCATTGTCTTCTGCCTATCGTATTTAGAGTTTTAGCTGTAGCTAAATATCTTAGGACCGATTCGACCGTTGTGTTAAACGAAGTTTAAAATGACATTTTTACATTAACAATGTCATTTTAATCTCCGTTTAACACAACGGTGGAATCAGCCCTTAAAGAGTCAATCTAAAGTAAATAATTTTATTCATATTTTAATGCATAACATTTTTATCCATAACTTTTTTGTGCCCTGTTCTGGTAAAGGTTTTTTTTTGTAGTAGTGACAATAACTAGTACGAACCATATTTCAGTTTATTATTCTTTTCGTTAAATACAAACTAGATATAAACAGCTCAGTTTTTAAGGTTATGTTATTTATATCATAATTTTAAAAATTAGATTATTGAATTTGATTAAATCTAATTAAAATATCGAATTCTAACATTAAAATACAATAATGTAAAGCACCTCACCTTTAATTAATATTATGAATTTGTGTTGTAATTCAAACAGTTACCTAACTGAATTTTGTTCTCGTAGTTGCAGACCATAAAAAAAGAAAATCTATTTTCTATTTGTAATAAAATACCTACGGCACTGGCTCAAATTTAGGGATTTTTTCTTTTATTTTCACCAATCGCTGTCATGACGATTTGGTCACGTGGGTTTTCGGTATTGTTGAAGACCCAGTATATACTTTGTTAGAAATAAAAATCGACGTGTATCTGAAGAATTTAAAAAAAAATGTCGTTAAACGAGTTGATATAGGTGGTAACACTAATAATAATTACTTATAGCTGTTCCTACATAATACATTGAATTCAAAAAAATATATTAAAACTTTATAAATATTTGACATTGGGTTCCAGCTCACACCACCATAGTATGAATTTACAAGAAATGTTTCTAAAGTGCCCGTAGGAAAAGTGAGATTCGTTTTTTTTTTTTTTCATTTTCATCAAGTTGCTTGCTGTCAAATTCATGGTAAGTTTTCTAGCGCATTATATATAAACAATACTATATCAATCTGCCTCTTGTTAAACAGAAGTGAAGCTTAAATACTCGATAAAATTAGCAGTTTTTACTTGATAAAGTTTGCAATAATTTAGAATTTGTCAACAAATTATTTCAAAATACCTACTGTGTTTAGTTCCAACGAGTACACCAATATGATAATTATTTACGGCGAATGTCGCAAGAATTTAAGACAAGCTAGACAATTATACTATGAACGTTTTCCGAATAGAACAATTCCCTCAGTTAGAACGTTTTCCAATTTAGAAAGAAGTCTTAGACAAGGACATTTTCCTAACGGTAAACATCATGGAGGACACAGCAGAATGATCAGAAATGAAGAAAATATTATACACGCTTTGGCTTACGTTCATGTAAATCCACATGCTTCTATCAGAGATTTGGCACTCGAAATTGGAATAAGCAAAAGTAGCATCCAAAGAATATTAAAAGACAATAAATATCATCCATATAAAATACACTTGGTCCAAGGTTTACACCCTAATGATCTTGAAAGACGCTTAGACTTTCTCGCTAGAATGCAGGTGAAACTAAATGACGATGCAACATTCTTAGATAAAATATTATGGAGCATGGAGCGACGAATCACGTTTCCATAATAATGGTGTATTAAATCGTCATAATTCCAATTACTGGTCCCCAACAAATCCCCACTGGGTAAGAGAAACAAGGTTTCTATATATTTGGGGCATAAACGTATGGTGTGGTTTGTTCAATGGTAGGATTATAGGTCAAAACACTAACGGGAATAGGATTTGTGATTTTTTAATCAATATCGTTCTTGATTTGTTGGAAGGTGTTCCTCTTAATCAAAGAAGTGATATGTGGTGGCAGCAAGATGGTGGACCAGCTAATACACAAATTCTGAGCTAATATTTGGCCAAACACTTATGGAAACCGTGTTATATCCACGCATTCTCCAATTATCCAGTGGTCGGCTAGGTCACCTGATTTGTCGCCTCTAGATTTTTTTTCTGGGGTACTATAAAGGAAGTAGTATACGAAACAAAACCAGAGGACTTAGAAGATTTAAAAAATTGAATCAGACATGCTTGCAACAGATTTACACCGGCCATGATTCGAGCTGCCTGTACTAGAAATTTATTTTAAGGTTTGACAAATGTGTGGAAGTGGAAGGTGGGCAATTTAAGCACTTTTTGGGGTCTATTCTGTAACAATTCCTTTATATTTAACGGCCTTTAAAAATATTGGCGGCCTTTAAAATATTTTCGTATTCGTTAATTTACTTCTGTCATTACTTAAACAGATTTCTTTAAGATAGGGGTCTATTCTGTAACAATTCCTCTATATTTAACGGCCTTTAAAAATATTTTCTTCTTTACTTCTGTCATTATTTAAACGTATCTTTAAAATACATTAGAGTACTATCTTAAAGAAATCTGTTTAAATAATGACAAGTAAATTAACGAATACAAATATGCTTTTAAAGGCCGCCAATATTTTTAAAGGCCGTTAAATATAAAGGAATTTTTACAGAATAGACCCCATTATAAGTTATTACTACTCTTTGTTTGTTGATATTTATTTCTTGTCTTCTCTTTCTCTTGTTTCAATGTATTTTTTTAATTATGTGTCACCTAATAAAGTATTTTTTATCATCAACAGTTTTATTTAATTTCTCACTTATTTATGGAGCGATTTAAAAATTTTAAAAACAGTTGTACAGAGAAAAGTAGCGACTACAAAAATGAGTAGAAAAAAATTAGGGTGTCGTTAATAATTTTTGAGGGGGTTGTTCCAGGG